TGTCCGAAGACGTTTCCGTGGTCATGTGGCCGGCATGACTAAACATCAAGGCGCACGGAATGCTGTTACCTTCCCACCGAAGTGGTTCCCATTTATCTACTTGCAATTTCTTGCTTTCGAACTGCTAGGTTGGCAGGAGCTGGAGCTAGAGACGGGAGCTCACTCTGTCATGCGGCACCCGGGTCTCAAACTGCTGAACTACCGACCTTCCAGAGCCTGCAGTTCAGCGTCTTAACCACTTGAGCCACCACAGTGCCTATTATTATTCATTAGTTGCATGGAAATGGCCCGAAATGGCCCCGGAGGGAAGGAAAAAACAAAGACAGCGAGACATATGAGGCGAACCAAAGCCAACAACGCTTATACATGAAATAAAAAAATGAAACCAAAATGGCTACTTCTGCTCTTCTCTGGGGAGGAAGGAAAAAAAGGAAATGGAGGGAAGAGGTGGGACAGAGGTGAGGGTAACAAGCTAGGGCTTCCAACAGCCAGGTGGGGCCAGGAGTCCTCCCAGAATTACAACTGGATTTCCAGATTACAAAGACAAGTTCTCCTTCAGAGGGTGGGCTCCAGAGGTCATTTCGGGGGGGATTGCGGGGGATCGCAGTTCCCCCGGGTGAGGTGTGGGGGGCGGGGCACACAACGAAGCCACACCCTCTGCTTCCAGCCGCCCAACTTCCGGCCCTCATTCAGCCAGGAGGAGGAAGGAGAAGAGGGAGGGTAAGTTGCTTCCTCCCCGCCTCTCCCCACCCCTGCCTGCCTGGGGCCAGGGAGGGCCTTGGCGGGGCTTCCTTGCACTCCCGCCGGCCTTGCAGGTCCACCGCTGGGCCTTATGATGTCGGGGTGTGTGGCATATGCTAATGAGTTATGCTAATGAGTTCCCCTAGCTCTTTTTCTATGAAACGACCCCTGGTGGGCTCTATACTATCACATCACCACTGAGATCCCTCCCTTCCTCCCCAAACTACACCTCCCCTGCCCCCCCGATCTCCTGGAATTTCCCAAGGTTGAGTTGGCAGCCCTAGTACCTACGCAAGTACTGTCAAGTCGCAACCACCTTATGGCGACCCCAGCGAGGGGCTTTCAAGGCCAGTGTTTAAGCAGAGGTGGTTGGCCATGGCCTTCTTCTGCAGAGCCTTCCTTGGCGGTCTCCCATCCACGTACTGACCCTGCTCAGCTTCTGAGATCTGATGAGCTCGGGCTCTGCCCCCTTCCCTCCCTTGGCAACCCGAGGCGGGGCCTTACCAGATGACTTCAAGCCCAGGAAAGCTTCTTTGAAAATTTCGTGCACCCAGGCTTGCAGTTCGACGTCCTCCTTGACGGCTGCCTCAGATTTGTAGTAGAGATGGACGATGCCAGAGGCCAGCCTGAAAGTGGAGTAGACAAAGGGAAGCAGAGCCACTCCTGGATCGAACTCCAGAGTGACTGTAGGGCTGCCGAGTCCCCTCGTCTGTGGGGGGGACCTGGGAGGTGTCCCGGGAGAGGGTAGGGGTGCCCCCAACACTCAGACTTCACCAGGAAGTGACATCATCGCATCGGTGATGTCAGGGGCGATGCTCAGGGTTTTGGGCAAAACTCTGTGGTAAAATCAGGGTCAAAGTTACAGGAGGTGGTGGCAGCTACAAGCACGGATGGCTTCAAGAGGGAATTGGATGAACATATGGAACAGAGGCCCCTCAGTGGCTATCAGCCACTAGGTATAGGATAGGAACTCTCGATCTGGGGCAAGAGATGCTCTGTGTTCTTGGTGCTTGTGTGTGGGGGGACAATACTGGGAGGGCTTCTAGTGGCCTTGTCCCACTGCTGGACCTCCTGATGGCACCTGGGATTTTTGGCCACTGTGTGACACAGAGTGCTGGATTGGATGGGCCATTGGCCTGATCCAACATTGGCTTCTCTTATAGAGCTTTGACCCAAAACCAGAGCATTGCCATGCGACATCCCAGTGCATTGGGGACGTCGCTGTTTGTGGGTGGGGTTTCCCCAGCCAGCCAGCTGGCCGAAGCTCCCAAAACCGGGGGATTCCCTGCTTGATTCCTGGGCTTCAGAGAGGCGCTGCCAAAAGTGGAGGCCAAAAAGCACTGTGTGAACTAGAGTCGATACTGTGTATTGTAAGCATCATTACAGTAAGCACAATTTCAGTGGCGTGTATCATTTGTTGTAAGCATCATTAGCTACTCTAGTTCACACAGTACTTTTGGGTTTCTGTCATTCACCGTACTGTGTCCTTCTTGTTTTGCATACAGCCAGAGGTCATTTCGGGGGGGATCGCAGTTCCCCTGGGTGAGGTGTGGGGGGGCGGGGCACACGACGAAGCCCCGCCCCTTGCTTCCAGCCGCCCCACTTCCGGCCCTCATTCAGCCAGGAGGAGGAAGGAGAAGAGGGAGGGTAAGTTGCTTCCTCCCCGCCTCTCCCCACCCCTGCCTGCCTGGGGCCAGGGAGGGCCTTGGTGGGGCTTCCTCGCACTCCCGCCGGCCTCGCAGGTCCACCGCCGGGCCTTATGATGTCAGGGTGTGTGGCATATGCTAATGAGTTCCCCTAGCTCTATTTCTACGAAACGACCCCTGCATACAGCCCAAAAGTGGAGGCAGCATTTGAATGCAGCTGGGCATGGGAAAGCAGCCCTGGTTGGTTTTCTGCCTTTTTCACGTGTCTGTTGAAGGCAGAGGCGACTTGCTCGGGAAAGAAAGCAGGATTCGAACAAGATTCGTAGTTCTTTCTCATTAAGCTACAATTGCCAGGGTCCCACGGGACGCGAGCTACACCCCAAAGAACTGAAGGGGTTCTTTGCGTTTTTTCAAAGTATCTCTGTCCTTGTTCTTCTCGTAACCAATATCCTTTGCTGCTTAATGAAAATTGGATTTGATTTCCAGCTTTAGCTCAAGGCAATTGCTTAGTGCTTAAGCTGAGCTTGTAGCAGCCCATTTGAAAGAGGGAGGGGGAGGATTTTCAAACCAGGTTTGTGTTCTGCAATAATGGCCCACTCTGCATCTAGCATTCGCTCCGCTGTTTTACCAGGCCCATGTTGGGACAGAAATTCCCGTCTACATTTCATGCCATTTTCACTTTCTTTGATTATTAGATTTTATGGTAGCCTCCACACTGTCTGATGGTTCCACTTCCTTTGATCTCTCGGTTTTATGGTACCATCTGCATCTCCCACTCTTGCCCCCCCCAAGCACCAAGAATACAGAGCATCCCTTGCCCCAGACATAAGAACATAAGAGAAGCCAATGTTGGATCAGGCCAAAGGCCCATCCAGTCCAAAACTCTGTGTCACACAGTGGCCAAAAACACCAGGTGCCATCAGGAGGTCCAGCAGTAGAGCCGGGACACTAGAAGCCCTCCCACTCTTGCCTCCCCCCCAGCACCAAGAATACAGTCCATCACTTGCCGCAGACTGAGAGCTCCTATCTATATCTTGTGGTTAATAGCCACTGATGGACCTCTGCTCCAGATGTTCATCCAATCCCCTCCTGAAGCCGTCCGTGCTTGTAGCTACCACCACCTCCTGTGATAGTGAGTTCCACGTGTTCGTCACTCCTTGGGTAAGGCTTTGCATGGACAGAAATGGCCCTGCCTTTGGATTCCAGCTGCCTCCATGTATTTGCCTCTGTGCATGGATCCCCCCCAGATCCGCCATCCCCAAAACTCACTTATGAATGGCGTTCCAGATCTTCATCCCGTCATCCCGGAAGTAAAAATTGGGCAAAGAGGCCACTCCTCTTTTTTCAAGGTCATCCGGGAGGCAAAGGGAAGTGTACGTGGAGGCCTGCACACCTTTGGCCAACAGTTTCAGCATCCCATCGCGGCCTGTTGCAGTTGCCTGTGGAGCAGGAGATAGCAGTTCAAGGCCCGGGAAGGCTGTGCTCTACTGTCAGTGAAACTCAGCGTTTGATCTGCTGGAAACATGGTGTTCCCTCTAGGCTGAGTTAGTGTGAGCTAGCTCACAGTATTTCAGCCCCCGGCTCACACATTTTTTTGTCTTAGCTCAGGAAGGATGGGGCTCCAGAACAAACTGATTTATGCAGGAGCCAGATCGCTCGCTCATGACTTTTAATGCCAGGGAACAGGAAGCATTTTGGGTGCGATTTAAACAGGGGAAACAATAGATGAGAAAGGGTTAAGTGATCCCCTTCATTAAGTTGTTTTTATTAAGCAAAACCTC